AATTTCATTTTGTAATCTTAATAAGTAATTTTATTTGGAATAAATTATATGGTAGTTTCGCTGGGGGATGTTAGTTAGTATTATTGAGAGAAATGCACTATTGATTTTTAGAGAAATGTGGCGTGACAATGTGCCTTTAAATTACAAGGTATACACACATGATAAATATATACAAAGATAACATTGATTATGCAGGGCCGAAGAGACAAAACGGTAAAATATACATGATTGCATGAAGGTAAGAAAACAGTACAGTAATACAGTTACATTAAATGATAAAACATATTAAGCAAAATAATGAACTAGTTGAAATATGGAACATTAAGATTATAAAGCATCTTAAAATACACTAAACTTAATTTTGATAAGAAAGTGTCACATGAAAAATTAAAATTATATTTAAAATCTAAAGGATAACAAGTAAAATTTTTTTATTGAAAATATTAGGTAATAGAGAAAGACGTATATCATCATAAAAGGAAACTGTAAAAGAAAATTCTTTTCTACTTCGACACGCGAGTGGGAGCAATATTTACAAAGTCTCGCATATGAAGCACATAGTCTTTGCGATTTCTGCTGGTGATCTACCGGCACATGTTTCACTCGTTTGGTGGCCTTCACGTGACGTGAGGTGAAATTGGGTTTCACATTGCATGCATGTGTATGTGCGGCTGCTTGTACTAGCCCAGACTGAAGCTGGTTTTATAGTGCTAGCCCACTGAGATACCATACTGTAATGAAGCATGAATACCCCACTCAGCCACAGTATACTGACTCCGAGCCGACCAGTCCTTGTTGTACCCATTAATGCCGAGCCCAATTAAGGCAGGGACCAACAAGTACCATATTTTAACCTCTTTTGGTATGACGCGGCCGGGGATCGAACCAGCGACCTTCCGCTCTCCGGGCAGACGCTCTAACCACTACACCACGGAGGCGGTCACTTCTGTCGGTAATGTTTGGAAGTCCAATTATTTCAAATTCATTAAAACCCCTTAAACTCGTTGCACACAAAGATAAAATAGTTTTTGTTCAGTATCTTTGGATCGGATTTGTAGGTGAGTACATAACGAAGCATACGACTTTATTAGCGACAACTTCGTATTTATTGCATTTACCTTAATTTCCTCCTGGCCACGAACAGAGATCAGGGGGATTACGTACCATCAGCCGTCGAAGAGTTAATCAAGCTATAGACTCTGTCAATCAACAAACAATTAGCATCCAGTCAGCATGTTTACAAGTTTACACCTTCTGCCTATTGGCTTCCCGACTTGTGCTATGTGTGTGTGCTACCGTTATCTATTACTCGTGGTTGTTGTTACATGCAGTGTGTATCTGCTGCTTGTCACTATATACGTCTCAGAGTTGGTATGCTCTTTTGCCAGTTACCTAGTGCTGAATATAAAATGATAGTCCAAATCAGTTGTGTCTTTCTTGGGTTGGTCATCCTTGGTGGCTTGGTGGTACACCACAGAACCCCTATAAACCCGTTCGCTCGTCACGCCGAAGACCCTGGTTCGATTCCCCACATGGGTACAATGAGTGAAGCCCATTTCTGGTGTCCCCCGCCGTGATATTGCTGGAATATTGCTAAAAGCGCTGTACAACCAAACTCAGTCAGTCAGTCAGTGAAAGGCTATATAAATATCAGTCATGTGTCACAAGTAATGAAAAAAACTAATAATTTGGCTAAAGTTATATCTTGTCATAAAGATCAATATCCTGAAAAAATGATACAATCTTGTGTAATAATATGTAAAATAAGTTGTTTTAAAGTAGAAACAATAGAATATGTTTGTCGTATCAATGATAATAATTTATTTATATAGCGCATCGTATCCATCTCACTAGTTGCTGACTCACTAGTTGCTGACTCACTAGTTGCTGACTCATCAGAATCTGTCAGATAGTCAATGGAATATCCACACTGTTTAAATGTATATGTTTCATGGTAAACTGACTTTGACGTGGTTATCAATCATGATCGGCTGTATGTCATGTAGCTTGGTTGTGGTTTGTGTATCCCATTTCGATTGCCAGCAGTGATTAACATAATGCCTTGTAACAGGCTTACACTCAGTATAAGGGATCGCAATGCATGTGACGGGATGTTCAAGAGCAGATTTTGCTGCTGCATCAAAGTGCCGTTACGATAGTCATTACTAACTGAATGTTTGACACTAGACATGCCCATGCCGTTACGACAGTCACTACTAACTAAATGTTTGCCACTAGACGTGTACACGCCGTTACGATAGTCATTACTAACTGAGTGTTTGACACTAGACATGTACACGCCGTTACGACAGTCACTACTAACTGAATGTTTGTCACTAAACGTGTACACGCCGTTACGACAGTGACTACTAACTGAATGTTTGACACTAGACATGCCCATGCCGTTACGACAGTCACTACTAACGGAATATTTGCCACTAGACGTGTACACGCGGTTACGATGGTCATTTTATACTAACTGAATGTTTGACACTAGACGTGTACACGCCGTTACGACAGTCACTACTAACTGAATGTTTGCCACTAGACATATCCACGCCGTTACGACAGTCACTACTAACTGAATGTTTGCCACTAGACATGTGCACGCCATTACGACAGTCACTACTAACTGAATGTTTGCCACTAGACATGCCCATGCCGTTACGACACTCACATCTAACTGAATGTTTGACACTAGACATGTACACGGCGTTACGACAGTCACTACTAACTGAAAGTTTGCCACTAGACGTGTACACGCCATTACGAAAGTCAGTACAAGCTGAATGTTTGCCACTAGACATGCCCATGTCATTACGACAGTCGCCACTAACTGAATGTTTGCCACTAGACATGCCCATGCCGTTACGACACTCACATCTAACTGAATGTTTGACACTAGACATGCCCATGCCGTTACGACAGTCAGTACAAGCTGAATGTTTGCCGCTAGACATGCCCCATGCCGTTACAAGAGTCACTACTCACTGAATGTTTGCCACTAAACATGCCCATGCCGTTACGACAGTCACTACTAACTGAATGTTTGACACTAGACATTCCCATGCCGTTACGACAGTCACTACTAACTGAATGTTTGACACTAAACATTCCAATGCCGTAACGACAGTCACTACTAACTGAATGTTTGCCACTAGACGTGCACATGCCGTTACGATGGTCAGTACAAACTGAATGTATGCCACTGTACGAGCACACGCCGTTCCGATGGTCATTACTGACTGAATGTTTGACACTAGACATGCCCATGCCGTTACACTTGCCGTTACGATAATCTGTACTAACTGAATCTTTGCCACTAGACGTGCAGATGCCGTTACGATATTCAGTACAAACTGGATGTTTGCCACTGGATGTGCACATGACGTTACGATCGTCAGTCCTAAATGAATGTTTGCCACTAGACGTGCGCATGCCGTTACGATAGTTAGTACTAACGGACACTCGTGAAGAGCAACCTCCTCGTGGTGAGTGCTGGGTAACGCTCATAGCTCTTTCCCCGGGTGGAGCCGGAGCAGACTAGGCCCACAGCACCCCATTTCTGGTCGTAAGAGGCGACCGAATTAGGCAACCTGTGGAGTCAGGAACAGTGTTCCTTTTGTCTAACACATCACTTCGACCCTGACTTCACCTAGACGGGTGACTCTGTCCTTGTTGACACTCCATGGTTGGTGGGGAGAAGGGGTGCTGAATCTCTTTCCTTTAATCGGGGGCAGTGGGGTAACCTAATGGTTAAAGCGTTGGCTCGTCATCCCCACATGGGTACAATGTGTGAAGCCCATTTCTGGTGTCCCCCGCCGTGATGTTGCTGGAATATTGCTAAAAGCGGCGTAAAACCAAACTCAGTCAGTCAGTCTTTCCTTCAATCATGTGTTTCCAAATATTTCTGAAATTTTGGAATTATAATTTGGTGATGATGAATGTTTTGATAAAGTCTAACCCAGCTTTTTTTGCGATTTCAGTCTTTTTTCTCCTCTTTATTTGCAAATGTCTTGAGAGACAACAGATTGAGACATTGCTGTCTCCAGGCAAACTCCACAAGAAGTGAGCCGGAGACGCGTAACATGTGTAACATGACCACAATGCGGAGATAGCCTTTGAAATGGCAAGCGTGTTTAGTTTTATTGGTAGAAAGTCTGCAGCCTCAATAACCGTACACCGTGCCCAGGAGTCACTGTCTGATGAATAAGTTTCACGAGGACGATCTAGTTCGTCCAGACGTCCTTTTTTTAGTTTCTAGTTGAACCAGCATGTTGGGGTAACATGATGAAAGTAAAAAGATTCGTCACCCATGCTCCCCACCCACCACCAACAAGGAAAGGACATTGTCAAAATAGCAACGGATACCCAAGATGCTGACACCAGGGTTACAGGTGCTTTATACTCCAGAGAATAAGACACAAATAGCTGTATTTGTCTACCAATTTAATGTCAGACTGGCTCGGCCCATGACAAAAAATTGGAGATATAGATTATTTGGAAGTCAACATCACCAGATTGGCCCATGAGCCACCACCTTCTGGCACAGGACTCTAGGCGATATAATATCATGAATAATTTGAATTTAGAAAAGCTAAAACTAAACACTATATCAGATATGTACAATATTACTCCCTATGCACAGGGCTTGGCGTGACCAGCCGATTGATAGAACCAGGCCCATCCTACCACCATTTAGGTGAAGTCAAGGCCGAAGTGATGTGTTAAGCAAAGAGATCAAGGTTTCTGGCTCCCTTCCTCCACCGACACAGTGGCGCAACCCCCTCGGCAAACAGGCTGCACAATTTGGTCGCCTTTTACGACCAGCAATTGGGTGATGTCTTGCCCCGGGTCCGCACGGGAGAAGAGCTATTAGCGTTACCCAGCACTTACCACTAGAAGGTTTGTTTTCACGAGTGCCAGTATATCATGGAAATGTTTATGAATAAGAGAAAGCAAATATTCATTATTCATTTATTTGTGACAAGTTATGCGATTGTGAAGTACACATCTTCACAAAACACAGTTGATGAGCCCATGTTTACATTAAATCTGGCACAGTAATGCCCACCAGGAATGGACGGGACATGGACAGGAAAGTTGGATCTTGGAAGGACATAATGACCCTGCATGGATGAAAGATAAGAAATACAATAATTATTCCGGTTCTTATTCAATAGCAGCTGCCAAGTAAGAAATGATATGTAAATTTGTGGGTCACAGCGGTTGCTGGTAGCTCAACGGGAGACACCTGGAAAAACAAAGACTTGGTGGTTGGGTTAATTGCTAATTTGATCTCGAGCTGATACGTCTCGTAATTGTCATGTTGGTTGTGTGATGATACTTAAATGCTCCCGTGGCTATAGATAAGACCTGAAATCAAAGGATGTGTATTCAGGACTTAAAGGCACTATATCACCCCACACATCTCTAAAAATAAATAATGCATTTCTCTCAATAATACTAGATACCACTCGTATAATATATTCTTTAAAAAATACGTATTTAGATTACAATATTAAATTAAAAAGTTCGAATGAATTAATGCAACGTTGCATTCAATCGACTCTCGCGCCATCTACCGCCGAACATAGAGTTATGTCCTTTTGAGCGCTCTTAACGAATATCCTACGCACAACTTGTGATTAAAACCAGTTCGGCAAACACCGACAACACCGCGTGCGACAGTTTTCGATGAACGAAGGTTTATTTTACATTCCATATATGGCAAGTGTTATCTGTTTGGAAGCAGTTCCCCTCGAAGTTTCACTTGTCGATTTCAGGCAAGTCGTAAGGGCTAAAAAGTCTTTTATTGCATCAATAGGACGCTAAAGTGAGTGCATCAGAGGGAAACAGTGACACATGCCTCACGGTATGTCTGATAAGCCAAAGAATATCAGGTAAAACTGGAAAATTAACTTAACTGACACAGGTCCATCATACATGTAATTCAACTTGATGAATAGGGAAAAGGCAATGATTGTGCTTACTGTGGTAACCGGACACATGCAGGAAATGTTGTTGTCAACGAAGACTTGAGGGCATTTGTGGTCTTGCAGGAGAACTCACGCGGCATCATAAGAAATTTCCCTCACGTTTACCCATACAAACAGGATTTTCATCCATACTGTCACATGAACCTGAAATAAAAGTATGCAAGCAGTAGATCACACCCTGCTCCCGATGATGGCATTATTCGCAGAGCTTCAAAACAGACATTTCCATTTTCACCATTTTCACCAAATTCAGCCGTAATGTTTTCAGTATATATGTTCTTATTAATGAGATTGTCTGGAATTCTACAAAACTTACACATATATCCACCCTGGGAAGGTGAAAAGAACGTTCACTTTAATCAAATCTGAAAATTTCGGTTCAGTGTTCAACCAGTGCGATTTAATATACATGAATTGTGCACTACATACTTAGTGGGCTTTTATGAATGATCATAATAACACCTACTATGCTATACTGATGATAACCGTTATCTACAAAGGATGAAATAAATGTGTTTGGCGTGGATAAACATTACCTTGATCGGTGACTGCAGCTCTTGCTTGACATCCACATTGAAAGCAAGATTAATGCTACCCGGAAGTGCAATAGGATCAGGGCCAATTTGTAGTGTATTAACTGTCACGACACCTGAACCACATGTGGAATGAGAGAAACTGTGAAGTACTTGACGTTTGCTGTCTGACGTCACCTATGATCAGACAAACTGAGAAAATTAATCAACAATTAAGTCATACCTTGACAAATGTATATGTTTAGTGCAACAGTATTAATGTTTATTCGTTTGAATGACATGCGTATTCAATATTTATATGTAACACTTTTGACGAATCTGTCATTTATTGTAGTTTGAGTGAGTGAGTTTAGCAGTGATAGTGTTTCCATTATGAATATATTCGATGAATGAAAACTTCAAATTTTACACTTAGGATACTCTGACATTTATTTCAACATGAGTGAGTGAGCTTAGTTTTACGCCGCACTCAGCAATATTCCAGCTATATGGAGGCGGTCTGTAAATTATCGAGTCTGGACCAGACAATCCAGTGATCAACAGCATGAGCATCGATCTACGCAATCGAGATACGATGACATGTGTCAACCAAGTCAGCGAGCCTGATCACCCGATCCCGTTGATCGCCTCTTACGACAAGCATGGGTTACTGAAGATCAATTCTAACCCGGATCTTCACGTGTCAGTTGTGGTTTGAGGACAATGACAAATTCACGTGGCTTTCACAAAAAGAGACCAGCACATGCAATATTTTGTGCACACAGTGTGAAGGGCATCGTCTACGACCTTATCATGCTTGCTGCAGGACTCATAACTGGAAGCACTGTGAGCTCCTAAAATGAGGTACAGAAGAGCAAACATTGTTGATGCCTCCATGTTTCCCAAACGAGGTTTGTGTCAGGATGAATCCCAACCAACCCACATTTATATCTGCCATATACCAGAAACATGTCACTGCTTGACTACTCAAAATGTTTGGGAGGACGTAGAAATCGTCAGGATGCACTCTATAACAAGAGTGAACTATCCGATACTGAGCCAACCTAAGACACGCCCAATTTGGGGGGCTTCTATTGGTGCATTTGGTCACTACCCAAAATGTATCTGTTAAGTATTTGTGAAAACAATGGGCAGTGCTGCAGGGGGCGTGCCAGAGATTTGTATTCATGTGTTTCAACCGCCCTCAATATGTTTCTTGATCTGTCAGTACATTGTGTGTTCGTGTCTCAGCAAGGGGAATTTGCACCACACTACAGCTGAGTCACTAGTAAGGTAACATAATAGCATTGCGTCCTCATTTTATCATTCCGGTTACAGTGAGGATGGGCGTTGCTAGAAGGAAAGTCAAACGGCTGTTTAGTACAAGCATGTGAAGAGCACCTGGGTAGTGTATTGTAATTTCGTTACGACTGAGAGGTAATAATTAATGTAGTTTTTCAGAAAAAAATACTGATTCTAAGCCAGATACGGGGATTCAGTTTCGCGAGTTTCATGTAATGATCGGAGATACTCTCATATTTCAAAGAACTGAAGAGAAACAAGAGACCAGGAAATGACTTTTATTACTTATTGGATTAAAAAATCGAATCGTGGAAAAAAACAAACTAATGGGTTAACAATTTGAATGAGAGAATGAATTTTACGCCGCTTTTAGCAATATTCCAGAAATATCACAAGAAATGGCTTTCACACTGTTTATCTATGTGGGGAATCGAATCCGGGCCGAGGGCACGCTTTAATCACTGGGCTACCCCATGGCCCCTGACAATTTGACATCTCTAACATGGGGGAGCTAGCCATGAGGGTCGTGGGGGTGGGACGAGGGGTGGGACGAGGGGTGGGACAATGGTAGGAAGTAAAGCGGACAACATCATAAGAGAGACAGTGTCATGGTAATTCTACTTACTTACTTCTAATCTGACTCACTCATGTCATCGGAATCCCTTGTGTTACTGTTGATCTTCACAAATGAAGTTCATCACGTGACCTGTATGAGTGTCATTCATTGTTTGAGTGCTTGTAGCTCGGAGTCTGTGTGCAGTGTACGTATTTGACAGGGTTATGGCCCGGGAAAGCGAATCTGGACCAAACCTCCTCAATTTACGTGTCGCTTTCGCGGGTAGGGTCAAGCTACAGTGATCACTGAATTTAGCGTTCCCGGGACTCTCAATACACAAGAAAAACAAAGACATGTGAGTCGTCGTCTGATACCGTAGTCATGGTAGAAATTTAATAGATAAATATATACGTTTAACATTAGCAAGCCATAGACATTTTATTTTGATGTACATTAGTAGCAAGTTTAAACCAAACTGAAATTATTCACTGTTTAATATATACAGAGATAGGAATTCGTCCAGTCTCTCCGTTGAGCATTTATGGTGGTGTACTCTTGCATAGTTTCAGGACAGATTTCATGAATAACCTGTGAACATTGTCTAAAATGTCTATATTTGAATATCCCCACACCTTGCAACCATATAACATGATTGGTAGGATCATGCAGTCAAAACATTTAAACAAACAATCGATAGATATGTGGAGATTTCTAGCCTTTGAGGGGATAATAAACACTACTTTTTATGCTTGGTCGTAAAGTCGCGCTTTACATCACATAGGCATTATTCCAGCCATTTAAGTGATGAAATCAAGTCTGCATTCATAAACATTCTAATACTTGAAAAAAGGTTTAACTTCTTTGAGAGGCATTGGGAAGTTGGAGCAGTAAGGAAGGATAACAATATATGGATGAACAACTTCTTTATTGCTGTGAGACCGACGTTTCGATGTAGGTTCTAACACCGTCATCAAGCAAGTGATGAAAGCATAAGGATGAAGGAGCATATATACAAGTAAGACCAGATGTTTGTACAGTACAATGGGGATTAGGAAGCCAGACACAATAACAACACAAAGGCTTAGATGAACGCGTTAACAATTGAAGCCTGCAAAGTACACAGTAGGAGGTGGAGCCTGCGATATACATAAATAGGTGATAAAGAGGATGATGCGTTGTATACATAAATGGTTTTTTTTCGATGATGGGGATCTTTAATGGGCTGGTAGTACGCAGGAGGTAGGTACCCTTGGTCACGGTTGATTGATGGCTGGAGTCTTTTGATGTAGATGGCTTCTTGGAGTTTCCTGAGTTTATAGTCTTTGAGGTTGGTTTTAGGGTTTGTCTCCAATGTACAACTTGTCCACTACGAGTCTCACTTTGTCACCTGACCTTGCTGCCTCTCTCCGTACAGGGTAAAGTTGTTTTCTCCTGTCTTCTATCTCCTTAGGGAACTGTTCGTTGATGTAGCACGACGTCCCTTTGAGGTGTTTGTAGGCTGATTGTCGTATGATCTCTCGGTCTTTGAATTCTGTGAACTTTGCCACGATAGGTCTGGGTCTAGTCCGATTAGGAAAGTGTTGGACTCGTTCGAACTTCACTCCTCTCTCGCATCGTAACTTGGTCCTTATAAACTCGTGTAGAACCTCTTCACAGTCTTCCTCAGGTTTTTCTTCAATTCCTGTGAAGATGAGATTATCTCGCATGGAGCGTGACTGCACATCTAAAAGCTGTTCTTTTAGCTCACGTACTTCTTCTGACTGGCCAGCTCGACGACCTTTCACTTCACTCAGCTGTTGCTTGATCACATTTACGTCCTTTGTAAGTGACTTTACAGCTTTCTTCACTTCCTCGTGCTCTTTGTCTCGAAAGACAGCCGCTTCTTCAATGCTCTTTGTTGTCGTCTTCAGAATGGTTACATCTGTCTCTAGCGAGTCAATCCGGTTACATAACTGACTGATTGACGACTCGATCTTGTCCATTGACTTCCGCCTGGTATCCATCTTGTCCAGCCTTTTGAAGAGATTTTAAACCCACCATGGTTGCTGGTCTGGGGGACTGGACATCTGTGTTACGGGGGTTACATACTGGGGTGACTGAGGGAGATGACCGTAGGTCAGTCCAATATTCGGGTTGACTGTTTGGGCAGGTAATCCTGAGTAGATAGCCATGTTTCTCAGGTATTCTAGTGAAAAGTCACTATCTTCACATTCCTGGCGTCTTTTAGAGCTATCTTCTTCGAAATAACTGTCTGATAATTTCTTTCGTTTCTGTCTCTTTTCTTTCTTTCCTGTCGTCTTCATTAGGCCATTTTGACTAAGTTATGTAAATAAGTCACCATGTAAGCTTACAGAGCGGGAGCTCATAAAAAACACGTCCGCTCAGCTCGACGACCCAAGCCAAGATCCCTGAAACTGGAAACAGCTGAAACTTCATCTCAGTTAAGAGGCTCACAGAACGAGTATTAGGGTCGCGCGCTAATCTGATGTACGGTAATGCGATGTGTTTCATAGCATTTCGCTTTCGTGGCACATCTAGCACAACTTTGGTTTTCACTTTACCGGGAATAGGGGATATTGAAATTTCGCTTTCCCGGGCAGACACCATTTGTGTGTTTAGTTTTACGCCGCTTTAAGCAGTATTCCAGTAATATCACGGCGGGGAACACAAGACTGACTGACGGACTGAGTATGGTTTTACGCCGCTTTTAGCAATATTCCAGCAATAACACGGCGGGGGACACCAGAAATGGGCTTCACAACTTGTACCCATGTGAGGAATCGAACCCGGGCCTTCGGCGGACAAAGCAAATGCTTTACCCAATAGTCTACTCCATCGGCCCTGTATGTATTTTTACAGCCAGCATTGCAGCCACCCCAACGTCACCAGGTCTGGAAGTTAAATTTAAACTTGGTGAATTTTACATGTACCTTGCTATAACATTTATGCTTGCGTTATTTCATCCGTAAACAACACGTGAAGATTCGGGTAAGAATTGATGTTCTGTACCCCATGCTTGTTGTAAGAGGCGACCAACGGGATCGGACGATCAGACTCTCTGACTTGGTTCACACATGTCATCGTATCCCTATTGTGTAGATCCATGCTAATGCTGTTGATCACTGGATTGTTTGGTCCAGATTCGATTATTTTTACTGACCGCCTCCATATAGCTGGAATAGCGCTGAGTTTGGCGTAAACCTAAACTCACTCATTCACTCATCCGTAAACAAAATTATACACAATGTACACTCGCCTAACACAATGTACATATAAACTGTACTACTAGCATAACTCAGCTGACTGATAATAAAATAACTTGGGAGTTATCTCCCTTGCACTACAGATCGTTTCGTTGAATGTTATCTAATGAAAGCTTGGTAGTGGTAAAGTTCTTGGTAATAAACTACTTTTCCATATTTCCTTACATATGAGGGGCGGTGGGGTAGCCTAGTGGTTAAAGCGTTGGCCCGTCACGCCGAAGACCCGGGTTCGAATCCCCACATGGGTACTATGTGGGAAGCTCATTTTCTGGTGTCATCCGCCGTGATGTTGCTGGAATATTGCTAAAAGTGGCGTAAAACCAAACTCAGTCAGTCAGTCCTTACATATGTGCAGGTTGACTTTTCACTTAATTTTAGCCACTGGGAAATTTAGATCAGTTTTAATTAGTTGGTTGAAGGCTTGGTGGTACATGTGGTCAAAGGCTCTGGCAAGCTCGGGGGTATCTTCTGTCGTAAATGCCCTCGACGCCGGCCATTGTCTCCAGACCGAAATCTTATTGCCTACACTCATTACCATTTAGGACATCGGAATTCATAATGAAATTACCCGTGAAGATCTGGGTTAGAATTGACTAACGGGATCGGGTGCACATGTTCAGACTCGCAATCCCAATTGCGTAGAACGATGCTGATGCTGATCACTGGGCTGTCTGGTCCAGACTAGATTCTCCATTTAACTGGAATATTGCTGAGTGCGGCGTAAAACTAAACTCCAGCAATATCACGGCGGGGGACACCACAAATGGGCTTCACACAGTGTGCCCATGTGGGGAATCGAACCCGGGTTTTCGGCGTGACGAGCGAACGCTTTAACCACTCGGCTACCCCACCGCCCCAATGGAACATGGAGAAGGGGATGTATATATATACTGAATGTAACAATGTAACAAAGAAAACAACATAATTAATATAATCGGCTAGGCAGTAAGCTGATGAAGCCAGAGAGTAGACAAAATACAGACATGGAAGTCAATGATGTACATGAAGCCAATGAAGTTTGTTCTACATTTCGATTTACTTTCTCCTTTATCTCTCACTCACAGACTCACTCACATTGTTAACCCCCCAATTCCGTAGATCGATGTTCATGCTGTTGATCCTTGGATTGTCTCAATTAGTTACAGACTGCCGCCATATAACTGAGTGCGGCGTAAAACTAAACTCACTCACTCATTGTTAACACATTAACCTGACACTTTTTTCAACAATTCTGTCCGTTGATGGATATAAAACTAACAACAGGTAATGCTTGGGACAGGATACTCGCTGCGAGTCGACAGACGCGGTGTGGAGATATAATAACTACAAGTCGAATTTAGGATCAGTAATCTGGACTTCATCCAAATTCCAAGTGGCGGGACAAGCTTGAGTTTACTTTGAAACAATTCTTTTTCACTGATGGACATAAAACTAGTGAGTTAGTGGGCCTGCGGGGAATCGAACCCGGGTCCGGCGTGACGAGCAAACACCTTAACCACTAGGCTAACCCACCGCCCTGATATAAAACTAACAGCAGATATTGCTGGGGAACAGGATATTCGTTGCCGTGTACATATTGACGTTCACTAGATTATTCCTTATTTTGAGTCATTTGCGACTCGTCGCTTTTATTTGGACACAGTCGGACTGTAAGAAGCTATTTTGGTCTCTATTTGTGTACAACGACGACATTGTGTCACGAATTCGCCACCCGCAGTCACATAGAATGTCATGTCGTTGACATACATATTGATCAGCAAAGTTTGAATACGTTTTTCATACACTATACGGGTCGACCTTTTGAGAGCATTTATCGATAAAATGACCCCGTTTGAAGACAGCTGTGAGACCTGTAAGCAGTATCGTTAACCCTTTATTTAGATACACTTCGTACAGTGTCGTCTTCGGGTTATAGCGCTCGTTAACATATGTTTTATCTGGGGTCATGGAGCCGAGACGGTTTGTATTGAATATGTCAACGCCTTGAGACAGATCTATGTTTAAAGCGCTCCTCCTTCAGTGTCACCGAGTAACCGTTGCCGTGCTGTGGGCGACTGGTGTCGACTGTCTAGCGCTGTGTTGGATATAAAATCTATTTTCTGTTGGTTTGGTTCATTGGCTCGAAAGGTATGTGTGTATTACTTAACCTCAAAGAGATTATGATTCTGGGTCCACGTGTCACGCATTAGTGTTTCATATGCTATACATATAGTGAGTGAGTGAGTTAATATTTAACGTCACATCGGCAATATTTCAGCCATATAGTGACGAGAAATGTTTTGTATATACAATAAATTAAAGTTGCTAAATAATCAGTCATCGAAGGACTGTAAAATAACTAGAGTATCACAGATGGATTCTAAAACTAGCATGAACATGTAAAATTATTTTATTTATGAAGACAATACAATATAAAAACGGGCTATAGATCGCCAACAACTTAAGGTAGATCACCATACTAGGAACCATGGGGACTTACATTACTTTTGCTACCTGCATGGACCCTAGTTGGATTTACACCATCCCTTCAGCCATTGGCGACAGAAGAGAAATCTAGACATAAATTAAAAGCACATATATTCTACGATTAAAAACCTGGTACACTTAAATTGACTTTGAAAGTTTTGGGACTTACGTACCCCCTCAGGAGGACAATAATTTTACGTTACGTCAACCCCCTTTGAGGGTACAGCCACTAACAATCTCAGTTACTAATATAAACTACCAACAATAAAATATTTAGCTATTTACAAATCAGTCAACAAATCCAATTGTTTTAAAAATGCAATAATTAAATGAGAACTGACATTATTAAAAAGATCCTTCAGAGTTTTGGAGTTGAAATAGATATCCCTTGTGATGGAATATTCAATGCAGTCACGCTGTGATCCTTTCATCACAAGGGATACAAAACGGAGGATCTTCGCCTTTCAATAAATATTCATGAGTATATCTGGTATGGCCAATGCGACATCGTCGCATAATGACCTCTTCAAATCTGGACTGACAACCCAAGTAAGTGTAACCAATGTAGGGTTTTATTGCATGTAATTTATTAATACCCACTTGGGTGTCCCACTTCTTTTGCATCAGATCGCGGATGTATGTTTTAATGCTAGCTTTATAATCAGAGTATGGGATAAGAAGTGGTGTCACAGATTTGTTGAGGGCTGCCTTAGCAGCAATATCAGCCATCGTGTTCCCAGAAATGCCAACGTGGCTGGGCAACCAACAAAAGACGATGTCGCATTGGCCAGTAGCAAGTTCATTATACAATTCAATAATTTCTAATAAAAGTGGATGTTTGCAAGAAAGATTTTTAATAGCCTGAAGACACGAAAGAGAATCTGAAAAGATGATATATTGTTTATATTTACGGTGTTTATGAATATATTTAAGAGCTGTTAAGATGGCGTTTGCTTCTGCTGTAAATATAGAGCTGTTATCCGGTATTCTAGAAGATATTGTTCGGGATCCAATGACAATGGCACATGCCAGTGCGCCACCGTCCTTGGACCCATCTGTAAATAAGGATTTGTATCTATTATATTTATTTCTTAATTGACTAAATTCTTGTTTATACTGTAATTCATTTGTTTCTGATTTTTTAAATGTAGTTAATGTTAGGTCAACTTGTGGCCTAACCAATTGCCAAGGCGGAGAAGAAATAAGACGGGAAGGAGCTATATGTTCTAGCTCTATCCCAGCAGCAGAAAGGAAAGGTTTCACTCTTATACCAA